GTATGCCGCCAGATTTGGTTTACCACAAATGTCAATATAATAAAAAAAAGAAGTTGCAATGATGATGTTTATTTTTTTAAGGAAAAAAAATCAAAGCAGATATTAAGAACATAAATGTAATATAGTTTTTTAGGGCGTTATAAAAAATTAACATTAATGTATCTTTTTTTTAAATAGATTTAATTGATAATGCTAGAATGTTTAACTACAATGGTTGTTATGGATGGAGCATTAAAAATATCCTCATCATTGTTTTTACCACGATGTCCACCTTAACCATCACTACCACCAGATAGTTGTAATTTTTCAGCAAACATTTTATATTTATTAATTACGTTGTCACTAACTGATCGTTGAACAAGTTTCATAGCGGCAGCAAAATGAGCAAGACTAATTTGTAGTACTGGATTGGGTTTATTAGAATCCGTTGTTATTTGTTCATTACGTTGTTGTTGTTTTGTAAGTTTGAAGTCTCGTGTTGCTAGTTTAGAAGCTTGTTGACACATTGTTGTTAAACTAGCACCAGTATAACCTTCGGTCATACCAGCCAAAACATTCAAAATATCCGAACTAACATATTCTGGTACAGGTAGTTGTTTTAAAGCAGTTGCTAAAATAGTCATACGTGAATTATTATCAGGTAGTGGAACATAAATTAATTGATCGAGACGACCTAAATACATATATATATATTAAATTAATATTTCATTTGGTATAAAGAATCAGTAAATTTTTTAGACAGAAAATGGTAAAACATCAGCTATTAATTGCAGCAAACTAGGTGTAAATCAGAAAATCTTACTGATTTTTCTTAATAACATCAGGAATTAATCGGTAAGTTTTTACCTGCTTGAAGATCAGCTGAATCGATGATCTCTGGTCGACTGGTTGCACCAATAACAAAAACATTTTTTTTTGTACCTATGGCGTCCATCTCGATTAATAATTGATTAATGAGACAATTAACTAAACCACCAGCACCGCCATCACTACCACGACGAGCTTTTGCTATGAATATCAAAAATTAAATACGTGTTCTTTTATTTATTTTTTTTTGAGCTTACCAATTGAGTCGAAATCATCGAAAAAGAGCACACATGGTGCTGCTTGACGAGCTTTGTCAAATATATCACATACACTAGCTTCAGGTTTTCCACAACACATAGCTAATAGTTCTGGAACTTTAACCAGAATAAAATTAGCTTCACAGTCAGAGGCCATAGCTGTTGCTAATAATTTTTTACCTAAAATAAGAAAATATTAATAAGTGAAGATGAAAAAAGTTTCTTGTTTTGTTTCGATAAACTTACCACAACCCGGTGGTCCGTAAAGCAAAATTCCACTTAATGATGGCTTATGGAATTGGAGAAATCTTTGTGGCGGTAAAACATCCTTTTCAATAAGTTCTTGTAATTTAAGTTTGATATTTTCTAAACCACCAATATCTGGCCATGCTGTTGTTACAAATTCAAAATCTATTTTACTTAATGCACATTTAATATTATCTGAATCAAAAAGTTCCACTGTTGGCACAATTTCAATTACTGCTTCACGTAATACAGATGGTCGTGATTGATTAATTGCTGCTTGAAATTTATCTTGAGTAACCACTATTGAAACCAGTGTTTCAATGTCAATTGGATTTTGTTGTAAATACATAACATCCAGTTTCTTACGAATTTGTTGTGCAGCTGCTTCCAAACATAAAGATTTTAAATCAGCACCAGTATAACCATGTGTTTCAATAGCAACTTGTGTAAGATCAACATCATCACCTAACTTCATATTTTTTGTGTGAATTCTAAGAATTTCAAGACGACCAGCAGCATTAGGTATGCCAATATCAACTTCGCGGTCAAAGCGACCAAAACGACGAAGTGCTGGATCAATTGAATTTGGTCGATTTGTTGCTGCCATAACAATAATATGTGGATGTTGCTTAAGATCATCCATTAATGTTAATAGTTGTGATACAATACGACGTTCAACTTCACCATGAGTTTTTTCATGTTTTGGTGCAATAGTATCAAGTTCATCAATAAAAATAATAGCTGGAGAATTCTACAAATAAAATATTATTGAATAATTTCTTAATCTTAATCAATAAAAAAAACTATTATCTATTTACTCCGTTTTTAGCTTCTACAAAAGCTTGTTGTAAATTGAATTCTGATTCACCAGCCAATTTGGACATAATTTCAGGTCCATTAATTAAAAAGAAGGTGGCACCTGTTTCATTTGCTACAGCACGTGCGATCAATTTTTTACCTAAAATATAAAACATTTTCTTTTTCATAATAAAATAAAATTTATTTTTTGTTATACCAGTGCCTGCTGGTCCAAAGAGAAGAATACCATGTGATGGCCGAACACCAATCGTTTTAAATGATTGTGAATGTATTAATGGTAGTTTAACCATTTGTTTGATGTGGGCTAATTGTTTTCGTACGCCACCAATATCATCGTAGCTAATTTCGTTTAACGATGAATTTGCATCTTTACGTGGAATTGAATGACCTTCACAATGTATAACTGTAGTCGATAGAATTTTGCAATACGGATCTGTTCCAGTATCAATAACTTTAAATTCCATTGACCGCATAGCTGCATGAACCAAAAAAATATCATCTTTGTGGACTGATAAATTACGTTCTCCAAAATATGGTTTTAACAAAACTTCAGACCAATTACCGGTTAATCCATTTATCGTTTCAACAACAGGTAAAATACGTACATCTTGAGCAACTGGAATATCATAGCATCCTTCTATTAACACCTTATTCCCGAGGTGTAGCTTTAAATTATGTAACGTAATTCTGTTTAATATTATCTCGTTAAAACGACAGAATGGTCGAGATTTAAAGTTGCAAGTTGTTATAAATCCAATATTACTTTTTAATGTAATAGTATTGCAATTATCTAATTTTAATTGTTTAATTTTATCTTGAGACATTTCCACCACGCTATTATCATTATTAACACTATCGCTGATAGTTAACCAAAACGAATATTCATCCATATCTGGAATAGTTGATTGATGAGATGAACTAGTCATTTATTTCTTGAAAATGTAAATAAAAACAAATCTAGAAATATAATTTAACATATAGTTATTAGCGGTCATCAATTCAGGATGTCCAGGGGAAGGGAGGAGTAATCAGGCACGAAAAATGTAGTTTTATGTTGATAATAGCGTTTTTATTTTAAATGATAGAAATTTTTTTTGCGTTCCAATCATGTAGTAAAAATATTTAAAATTTAAAAAAAAATTGTTTTTTTTCTATCGTTTGTAGTCCGGTTGGATCGGACCGGATGGAAAAAATCCGTCCGCTTCCAGCTCTGGATGATTCCCTTCACCATTTCCACCTGCAACTAATTCACCTTTTTTATTTCCTTGTTCCCATCATCTTACTTCACGCTTATCACAATCAGAAGCATAAATTATTCCATTTTTATCGATTGTCAGACCCACACAATTAATATATGAAATAATAATTTATCGATTTGTTTGATTTTGGTCAAAATACCAAATTATTCGTTTGTTTTCTCAATCCAAAATAATAAAAGAATTATTTTCTTTATCAAAAACTATACCTGATGGCATATTCATTTGACTATTTTGATTTCCACTTCTATTTCCAACTGCAATTATTCGACCTCTATTTGAATTCAGTTTCCATTTAGCAATACGATGATTCGAAAAATGAACAATATAAATTGATTTATTTCTATCAATACAGATCCCTTGAGGACGAAAGAGTCGATTTCATTTCTGTCCTGGTCTTTTACCCTCAGGAACAGTAATTCCAAATTGTTGAAATTTATTCTTTTTCATTCTTTCTAAATGAAAACAGAGCGAAGATAAGAAGAAAAACTTGTATTTGAATTAGTTTTAATAAAATAAAATTTTCTTTTTGCTAAATTCAGTTTTAATCAAACAAATTTAATTCTAAATAATTTCTTCAAATTTTATAATTAAAAATTCTTTATTTAATTTTTATGACAGTATAATTTAGGGAAATGTTTTTAAATGAAGGTTATTTTTACTTCAATGACTTAAATAAAATCGAGCAAAAATTTCTTCCTTAGTAATAAATTAAATAATTCTTGTTTATTTGAATATTTTAAACTAAAAATTTAAACTTAACTTAAATTTATTGAACATTTTGAAAACAAAATAATCTTTTCATTAAAATATTGAAAGAGATTTTTCAAATAAAAAAATATAAAAATTCCATCTAATCTTAGAAATTTGTTTAGATTTGAATCAGAGACCGGCGGGATGCGGTATCAGTACCGTACCGTACCGGGACGAGACGGTATAGGAAAAAAAGAAGTAGGGCGGTACGGTACGGTATGCGGTATGAGAGGGCTATACCGCACTCCCGCGTCTATATTAAAAGAAGCCTTCTAGCAATGATTTTCGAAAACATCTATTAAATTTTTTTCATTCACATTATATGTTAAAACGAATTTAGCAAAGCTAATCCTGTCTCAATCTCTTATCCGCAGCTATTTGAACTTCTTATCATTTTGTCGAATATGACCTATACTCATTTGGACCCTAGGAAGTCAGATAAAGATGTTTGAGAACCATCGTCGTTGTTATATATTAACGACCAATTGATGTGAACAATTGCTGTAGGAGAACGATTTTTATCGCTTGCTTTTTGTTTTTCTCGTAAATATTATTGTTAAATGAAACGTGCAATCGTCAAACGATTCAACACTTTTAAGAACGTAATGAAACTTAATATATTATTCTCGAGAATCAAAATTACGAAAACTCATGCAATTATTTGCTAATAGTCATTTAGTTTTCTATCAAGGTCGATATCCCTGGTATTTCTGAGAAAAATATTAAGTTTTGCTTCACATAATACCTATGGTTTACAACGAATTCCTACATTTCATACAGCACTACGTTTCTTAACGAACATATAACTGCGAATCAGCTGATCGAAAAACTGTCTCATATTACTATCATCTGAGACCTCATCATCTTCTAAAAATTTGAGTACTGTACATAACCATCCAAAAACTGTTTGATTCCTTAGTTCTTATTTCTGAGAAAGAAAAGATCGATTAGTCCAAAAGATATATAAAGATGTGCAACCATTTACTATGACGATGGTTTCGGTCAGATATGGGCAAGTCAACGACTTTTTGACCCAAGTCAAGTAAAAATCAATAACTGAAAATTTCGAACAAATCAAGTCAAGTTACGTCTCGAAAATCTTCAAATCGAAGTTATAGTTTAAGTTAAGTCGCAAGTCATTTGATTTGGCTTAATTTAACTTGATTCGAGTCGAAAAAGGACTTGACTTGCCACCTTTAGAGCCAGTTCACCCTACAAGTTTATTTTATTATTCTTAATTTAAAACTTTTGATAATTGTACGCCCGAAATTAATACTAAAGTGCATGAAACACTTGTATATATTTATATAATTTTGTACTTAACTTGTCCATGCTTTGTTTCTGTAAAATTGCGCAACGTTATGTATCAATTAATAAGTTCATGCGTTCTTGGAATTCCTTTTTTCGTATGCTCTTATAATTCTTTTTATAGTTTGTTGTCAATATCCATTGAAAAAGTAATCTATATATGATCCGATAACTCAATAAAACGGATCGTAATAGCTTTGGAAAAAACTTAAAAATTTTTTCTGGCGGTACGGTATTTCGCGAGACGGTATACTTCAGACTCTAGGCGGTAACGGTACGGTACGGTATCGAAAAATTATCAGGTGGTACGGGACGGTACGGTATGATACGAGTGAAAGCGGTACACGGTACGGGACGGTATGAAATTTTTCCAATACCTCCGGTCTCTGATTTGAATTTTATATTAGGATAAATCTTTTCAAAAAACAGAAAAAGCGATGATTTAACCCTTTGACTTCCCTGGTATAAAAAAGCTACACCCGTTTTTTTAATATCTCTCATACTGTAGTTCATAAAAATTAGCAAATAATCTTTTGAAAGGAAGTAATAGGAAGTGTTCTAGGATTTTTTCGAAGTACCTGTGCCGTATACGCCGCCTTCACATTTTCCATTTTACTCTTTTGTTGCTCTGGATATTATAGTTTCATGGAAACACTGTATAAGTTTTGCAATTAATACACTTCAACAGTTAAAATTTCCGTTCAGCCTAATAGAGTTCAATGTAACTTACATTGCGCAAATCGACTAATCACCTGTGAAAACAAATGAGATATGCCTAACATATATTCGTATGTCTAGAAGAAGTAAATCCAACGAAAAATAATTCGAAAGTCAAAGGGTTAACAAAATTGTTTTTAAATAAATACTTAAACTAGAAAATAAACTGAAAATATTTAATCGAACTACTACAAAGAATAAAAGTGTGTTGATAGATATAAAAAAATAGACTTATAATTCGAACAATTTAAATTAAAAGATATTTTATTAATAAAAAATAATGTTGAGAAAAACTAAATTTTATTCGATTATATAAAGAACAAAGAATAGTTTTCGAATTAGAAATTATTTCTTTTCAATTCATTTCTTATTGAAATGATAAAATTTTTATATGAATTTAATATTTAGTGTTTTTCTAATCAATACATACTTTAATTATAAAATATTTTAAGTTTAATGGTAAATTTAAATATTGATTAATTGTTTTCAGTAGAAAAACCTATTGACCTCAAAACATTTTTAATATTTTATTTAAATAAAAATAAATTATTTTTAGATTATTCTGGTGGACTACCTTATTTTTCAATTAAAATTGTTAATCAACCAAATTTAATAATAAAATATCAAATTTTTCTTATTCATTCAATTATTTTAAGATCCAAATCATAAACTCTACCATGATTTATTTATTAAATTATTTATATTGAAAAATATATTATTTTCATAAATTTTTCTATAAATATTTCCGTAGAGCAATGTATCTTGATTAGTCAAATAAAACAAATGTTTTTTGAATTTGAAATAAAAATAAATAAATATGAATTTATGATAAGAAATTAATCTAGTCCTAAACTATTTCAATTTCTTATTCGATTGGTTTAGGAAATTTTTAAAAATAAAATAATATTTTGTATTATTTTATTAATTAGATTTTACACAATTAATCTCATATTCATTTATTCATCAAAATTCATTTTATTGATTTGTTATTCAACAGATTGAATAGTCAAAACACCTACTTGAGTTGGATGGTCTAGGTAATTCTTCTCCTTCTTCTAATTCTTCATAACCATAATAAAAATCATCATCATCATTATCCTTATCATCATTAATTTCTCTTGAATCAATAATATTCAGGGGTGTCTCGTGGTCCAAAACATTGAGGGGGGCGAGCGCCGATGAATTTTGCGAGGTCTTCCTGGAAAGTCTCAAAAATATTCCAAGCATATTGGTAAATTTTCCGAAATTTCAGAAGATTTTCAAGATTTTTTTAAAAAATGTCTTCAAATTTATCCAGTTTTCAAAAAATTTTCAACATCTTCTGAGTTTTTTTAGATTTTCAAGATGTTCAAAAAATTCTGGAGGATTTTTTAAGGTTTATGAAAATTTTTTTAAAGTTTTTCGAAATTTAAAAAATATCGTGCCGTTTCTTGCAAATTTTTACATAAATTTGAAGATTATTTCTAGAACTTTCTGAAAATGTTCATAAACTGACGAGCTAAAAAAACAAAATTTTCTAAGATTGGGGGACGTCGAAGCCCCAAAAGCTCCCCATCGGGACACCCCTGATAATATTTAATCTGCCATGATGGCTTAATGGATTAGATACAACTTCAAATATTGTTTCAGGCTTTAAAATAACTTCATCTTCATTTGGATAAGACGTATATAATGAAATAGATTTTCCATTTAAACATTCGATATTAAATATTTTAACCAAAGAAGATTTATTAAGAAATGAAAAAATAACATTAATAGATGTTGAACATGAACTTATAATCCACCAAGTAATTCTTTGACCTTTTTTAAATTTCATAGCAACATCTTTAACAATTCCACAATAAATAAACCCAGTTTTGTGCAAAAAAAAAAAAAAAAAAAAACTTCCACGATAATTTCTTTAAATTCAGGTAATTTTGATGTTGCAAAATCTAAAAGTTTTAAATATCCAAATCATAGACGAACTTTTGATCAATCTTCTGCACGGAATTTTTAATTTAAAATTCGATAAACACTTCAATCATCAGCCATTTCCATAATATAAATATGAATTGCAGCAGATTCATCTTTTGTTAAATTATGATCATTTGACTATGTACAATATTTTTTAGCTAATTTAACAAAACGATTTATTTCTTCTAAAGAATTCTGTAATTTTATCATAGTATCTTCGAGAGATAATAATTCCCAAGTATTATAACTAAAAAGAATGACAAATTTAATTTGAATTCTGCCTAGTTAAAATTCAAATTTGAGTTTTGCCTACAACATACATATTGTCATATATATGCTGGGGTAAAAATTGAGACTAAGCCAAATTTAGAATCTGACTAGGCAAAATTGGAATTCCAGTTTTGACTAGTCAAAATTAGAATTGAGATGAAAATGAACAAATACGATGGAAATTTACAATATATGAATATATGAACATTTTTTATTAAAATAAAATCTTGTTTTAACAAATAAATAAATTTGGGAGAAAACGAACCTGATGGTTTTCATTTCGGTAATAATAAACATTCAACAATATTATTGTAAATTTTTTGTTTCATAAGACTTTTTTTCTCTAAATTTAATACTTAAAGAATTAATATGATTTTCTAATTGTTTGTAATAAAGGGATTCAGCAGAATTTGTTTCGACGATTGTTAAATTTGATTCAGACATATTTTAACTATATTATAATATGTACATCTATATTTATACCAGTTGCCAGCATGACATCGTGATTAATTTCCTTTTTTATTTTACTCGTATAGAAAAACACGTGACTGTATTTGTTCATTTTCATCTGAATTTATACCACTTACCAGCATGACATCGTGATTAATTTCCATTTTTGATTTTATTCGTATAGAAAAACATGTGACTAGTTGTTTATTTTCATCTGAATTCTAGTTGTGCCTAGACAGAATTGAAATTTCAACTCTGTCCAGAAAAAGTACTAGTCTATAATGGAATTCTAATTCCGACTGGTCAAAACTAGAATTCCAATTTTGCCTAGTTAGATTCTAAATTTTACGTTTTCTCGCTTATGAAAAGCGAATCTTCATGAAACTTTTATAGATTGTTGATCATAACTACTACTATATAATCACAAAGTTTCAGGTCTATAACTGCTTTCATTAATGAGAAACTAGAAAAATAATGTTGAATAAAATGTCAGCAAATTTTATAACAACTAAATTTTGATATGAAGACAGTAAAATCGTTATTTCTAGGGTGTCTCAAATAAATATACGAGGTTGAAAAGTGTCTTTTTTCATTACATATATTTTCTTGTGCACGTGTCGATGACTGAGATACATAAGGAATAGTATTAGTCTTCTACGAATGAATTAACACAGAACATGTTGTATGAACCATTATTGAAAGAGAAAGAAAATTTCGTTCATTTGTTATGCATTTAAAGCAAATTAATCCACCATGGGACGCCAAAAACATCACAGATTTTCTAGTTTATTCAGAAAGTCTACCATTTTATTTTACAAAAAATGGTTTAAGACTCAAAATTTAGGAAAAAAGACTAATACCATTCCTTATATATCCAAGCCATCAACACGTGCACAAGAAAATATATGTAATGAAAAAAGACACTTTTCAGCCTCGTATATTTATTTGAGACACCCTAGAAATAACGATTTTACTGTCTTCATATCAAAATTTAGTTGTTATAAAATTTGCTGAAATTTTATTCAACATTATTTTTCTAGTATTTTGCATATTAAGTTCATTTTTGGAGAGCATTCTTAAGAGTCATCTCTTTTAAACGTATATGAATGAATGTAGAATACCAAAGATAAGTCCGCTACTTAAACAAAGAGCTATTGATTGTATCACAAGAATTAGAATCAGATAGTGAAACAGCAACAGTTGATGAACCAAATAAATCAGTTAAAAGTGACTCCGGTGTTGAACTAATTGATGATTATGCTGCTTCGGAAGCTAGTTATTTTCTAGAGCAGTAGAATGTTTATTTTATATTTTTTGATAATATAATATTCAGGATAACTTTTCTTGTTTTTTTAATATCTTTTCTTTATATTCTATGCTCAATATTATATTATGTATTTAAAAAACTAAATTTGTAACAGATTCTATTTTTATTTATTCTTTATGAAATATTCGTTTTGCTTATTTTGTATATTAACTTATTTGGGAGTTTTTTATTTAATATTAATTGATGAACTGTTATGCAAAACAAATTACAGAGATATGCTTGAACTAACGGATTGTTTTTAAAAATGCCCTTTTTACATGGACGTCGTTAATGGATGGCCCCTTTATAAAATATAAAATAAATCATCGATTCTATTCTTTATATACTTAGTCTAAGGCTACCTAGATATTCTCTTGTCGTTTTCTTTTCTTTGTTTTCTGATATCATATATTAGATCATATATCTATTTTCCTTTGTTTTCTGATTTAATATATTAGATCACATGTTTTCTATTCTTTTATTTTCCATTTACATTCAACCCTGGATGTGATCATACATACAGAGTGTGAGGTCGGTGTGGGTGAGAGTGCGCGTGTTCTACTCCACCCACAGCCTCAAGTAAAAAGATTGTGATTTGTGAATCATAAAAATCGAAAAGCCATGCTTTTTTTTTATTGCAATTTTATTTCGGAAAAAAACTTAAAAAATGACAAAAAAAAGGAAACTCAGATATTTTTTCAACGTTCTGCACAAAAAAAAACAATACAGAGTACAAAAACGAGAAAAATCCTTTGATGATTTAAATACGCGGTGGTAATAATAAATAACGATCATCATGGATGCTTAATGTTCCTGTTTTTGAATGTGGTAATGTTGAATTATTACTATCATGATCATCGAGTAATTTTTCTTTATTATTTGCAATATGTTGAGATAAAGTATCAATACGAATTTGTCGTTGTTTTTGCCAATTATCCCATAAAGCACAAATAAGTTCACCAACAATAACATTATTCATATTTGCAGTAATAATACGTAACCTTAAAACAAAAAAAAAATTAAAAAATCAAAATAAAAAAAATTACTATTTACAATAAGATTCCATCTTGACGACAATAACTATCGACAAAAGTTCGAAGCATTTCATTATCATAATTTGCTGTATGTCTTGAATGATAATCAATTCCATTTGCTTTTAAATATCGACGAATAAAATTTTTACGTGATTTTAAAGTAAAATAACGAAACCATTTCATTAAACCATAAATCGATCCAATCGAAACAAAAGCAAGCCAAAACCATATTACTAAAAAGATCTAAATATATTAATTTATTTCAATTAATAATTAACATTATTTTTTTAATTTTTAAATCTACTTTTTCATTATAGATATTAAC